TCAAAGGATAATTATTTCGCGTGATGCACACTTCATAACATCCTTGAGATTGACAACATTTTACGTTTTTATTTTTTGTGAGCTTGGAGGACAGGAAGAACTAGAAAAAATACTGCTTATTCGAATAAACTTTGTGGTTTGTGTTTATTTTTAAGTGACAGGTCGTGTCTCAAAATGCCTTACATAAGCAATAATGTCACTGTAGAAACTTGGTCAACAATTCGCAGAGACTCCACCTTAGCTTTCAGTTCACCAACCTACACAATGAAGTGGCCTTGAGTAAACTCAGTCTATTAATGTCGCCTGAACCCATATCGCCTGTTTTTAACCCAAAGTTTATGAACAAAGATCTCTAGGCGCAGTAAATATGCCAGAAAGTTAGCGTCGTCCGATGTTACCGATTTATGCAAGTCATTGAACTTGTACCGGTATTTCCACCAAGTAAGTCCAGGCACGAAAAAGTAGAAAAAATCAAGAATCCTTTAACCCATACAATCATGGAAAGTGGAGTTTGCTGATGGTTCGCCACAATTTTGAAGGAAGAATTCTCGCAGTTGAGAATATGATCTAAGAAACGAAATTGCAAAACGAAAGCAGACTATTGACTTCCAGCTTCGAGAGCTGTGGATTTTGATAACCTGAATGACCAAGCTCAGAAAGTATTTTTAAAAAATTCCGACATGTGTCTTCAACAAGCGTGGATTACTTATTTGGGTTGTATAACTGATTATCATGCACCAAGATCATGTGATAATACAGTCATTCCAAGACGCCGGCTTCTAAAATTTGCGATGAATGCTGACTATATGTCAAACTTCATAAGGAACAGTAATAAACGAAGAGATACGATATGGTCTTGAAAATGCTCATAATCACAATAATTTTAAAATCTAAAGGTACGTCTTTTTCGTGTAAATGGTTTTAAAAAGACATGGTTTGATGTCAAAAGAAAACACGAAAAGATTTTTGTGCGTGTTTCCTATAATATTTACTTTAGTTCATGAAGGCATCAAAAATCATTGGAGAAAAATTCAAATATTTGAGAAGGCATTTCTTACCGTTTGCGATTCCAGCAGTCGGCCTATAAGAAGTGGGCCCAAAAGCCCGCATCCTTCTTCAACTGCAATAGCATAGAATCATGCTACACGATTATCAGTATTACAACCCCACTGAGGCTAACCTTTCTGAAAGAAAACGCCTTCTCGATTTTCGGCTGACATTTTATGAGCCTAGTCATTGAATTTATATGTCCACCTTTTGTTTGTTAAGTAGTTATATATACTCTTTTTTCAACTAGACCGCACGCCCTTTCTGTGTGAATAAGCTGGCTTTTTACTTAATCGGAATATGAAAAAATGAAAGATGATGGAAGTGCTCAAACAAACGCACGCCTGATTAAGAAAACCCTGAAAGTTCTAAAGAAGGTATAAAGAGGCATTCTCCACTGTTTTTAACACAACCGTATCACCTGGAAACGAAATACATTATTTGGTCGTTCACAAGAGGCATCGTATCATGCACGCATATACATGCACGTTTGGTTCTAAATTTTTCCGGGAAGCATATACCGACCTCGGCAATTCATTTGCCTGCAATAACCTAACTCATTCCCCTTTCTTCATCAGAGTAACCTGCGTAAGGTACCCAGTTAGGCGCATTTTTCTGCTGCTGCTGCTGTTCTTCCTCAAAGGTCTTACCGCCACCAGTCCAGAAGTTTCTGTTTCAAGCTGAAGACATGTGCTCAACACATGCGGAGTATCTATGACGTTAATGCAGGCTCTTGCTTTTACTGACCGCCTACTAAACTAAAATGTTTATGCAAAAAGTGGAGGCAAATATTTAACTGATTAAAAAGCTGATAAGGGGTAAAAATGTTCCTGCATATCTTTGTCTCCCGATCGTTCATCTGAAAGTTGCCAGACAGGTAGCAAAAGGCATCACCACCCTTGGCGAAATGCTAAAGTAGCCTAGCAAATTACTGGAGTACATGGGTCAGAGGGGAATTTCAAGCATGTTTCCACAATGAAAATGATTGTTTTAGCTTCAACCCATGTGGTTTTTTTCTGAAAAATTTAGAACGGTCCTTTCGGAATATAATTTTGCAAATTAGGCAGTGATGTTGCAGATAGCAAAATGCCTCTTAAAACCCGAAAACCTTACGAAAATGCTGACCGATGCGAAAACGAATGTTGTCAACACCAATCCCTATGAAATGGGAACAGTATACTATGAGTCAATCCGCTAGGAATTAATATAAGAATTCAGAGGGTAATTCGAATTACGGTCGGCGAAATGGCTGTTCACTTGTACCGCAGGTGAAATGGATTCTGCATTTTTTAGGCGGAAAGTATGTGGTGTACTGGGATTCAATGTGGAATATTGCAGAAGCGGCATGGACCTTCATTACGTTTATTCGATTTCAGAGAGGGATATCAGAACTTAACAATTTGCAGGAGTGTGATAAAACGTTAGTTTAAAATGAGACTGCTTTAAAATTTTTACTTTTAGAGACACGCAAGAGTGAACTGGGCACACTTAGTGCCGTTACGCACGCACTTCATGCATCGCTAACTTTTAGAACACGAATCAAGAGGTTAAAGCCCGCGCTTGAAGTACACCTTACCCAGATGCATCTGCTGAAACTAACCTTGGCACAATCTATCGGTCTGGAAACTTGTTTTGGTCAAAAAGTGTCAAGAATAAGGACATATTTTAGTGCACGGGGAGTAAAAAGATGGGGAAAAGTTGAGAGAGCAATGCCAAAGGCTTGTTTAGAGAGTTGTCAGCCAGTTACGACATTGACCAGTAACTGAACTTTGAAACATAGACATGTCCACACAATAGTTCGACCTTCACATCCGACGATGTCCACAATGTGCTCCACAGCAAGATGGAAGCAGGGACGGTGACTTGTGGGAAAATTTAGTAAATACTGATGGTGGACTTGCACAGCATATACCGCAGTCTCTCCTCCCCACCTGGACCCGGTCTCAAGACGGAGTCAAAAAGACCGGAGGTGGGGGAGAGTACAGAGGGACAGCATGCTCGATCCCGCACCCTAGCGTTCCACTCCCCATCACCTGGTCCACACGGCAAACAAACAGGTTTTGATCAACCACATCAATGGGAGAACGGCTGGGTCCCAGTGTGCGCGACGTACTCTGGCAACCGGGTGCGCAACCACACCCCCGAAAATGTTGGCATATGTTACTGTGCGCAAAGCCGATAACGCCTGCCCGAGCCCAATATGACCCCCGTGTTGGTCCAGCGCATCCGCCACGTGGCCCTTTTGGGGGAAAACATGTCCACAAACACACACACACACACACACACACGACGACAGTTCGTCCGTCGATTTCGACGATGACCACCGTGTGCCCTACAGACTGCATTGTGGGAGCAGGGACGGTGACTTACGCAGGGGTTTATAGTGCCAGTAGACTTGCGTACCATCTACCTACACTCTCTCCTCCTCCTCCGCCTGAGCCCGGTGTCAAGACAGAGTCAAGAAGATCGGAGACGAGGGAGGCCGCAGGTGGATGGCTCGGACGGATCTTCACCTTGGCGTTCCACCACACCCCCTGGTCCACACACATATAACCAGGATTTCAACCAACACAACAGAGATTTGGAGGCTGGCACGACCGAAGCCGCACCTAGGCGTGCCGCCAACGCCTGGGTCGGATCCCACACTGTCGTGAGAATGTCATAAAGGCCATATTAAAAAGGAGCCATTGCAGCCTGACTCTCAGACCGCCTCCCGTGAAGGAGGAGGTCCAAGGTACCCCGTCAGTTGGCAACCTTCCAAGCCACGGCTTTTAGCGCACCGTGATAGCTTCAAGCGTGTCAGATTGATTATAGTGATGAGAAGTGCGCTGAGTCGTCGACCTCACTCTCCCTTCCCATTCAAGCACCCCAGCCGCCGTCCGAGCCCGTCGACAAACTGGAATGGGGAATGGGCGCGGTGGCTGACACTGTCGACTGACCATGCCTGCGCGCGCCACAGCACGACCTGGCACCCCATACACACACAAACACCAGGATTTCACACAACGGGGGTTGAAGGGCGTGTATCTCACTTGCGTGAGAGGGCCGTGGAAGGTGCTGCTTCAGCCCGTTCCCAGCCCACCAGTCCGCCACTGCACACAATACACACACACAACGTGACGAACTGCGTGGACCAAGAGCGGGCGTCAATCAGCAACCTTCCTATCCACGACACTTGAAGTGTCGGGATAGTCTCGGACTCAATCACCCGTGCGGCCGAAGCCGCATGGGGACCGAGTCGAGATGCACACTTCCCACTTGCGTGGAAGGTGGCAGTTGGTGCATGCGGTGGGTGAGTGCTGATGCCTGTTGTTGATGGTGGAGGTGGGAAGGAGGTGTGCGGATGTGTGATGTAACCGGCGGCTGTCTACCACAGGTCGGCGTGGATGCGCATGTGGCCGAATAGGCCCATACGATGCCTGAAGGTGCGAGGACAGTGTGGGCAGTTGAGACGAGCTTGGTGCGTGTAGGTTGGTGCTCCAGGCGCTGGTTCTCCAGTCTCTGTGCGATGGATTCGCAAGTGACCGGCCAGGCCGATGCGAGAGGTGAATGTGCGTGGACAGTGTGGGCATGCGAGGTCGGCGGTGTCAGTGTTAGCTACTGTTAGGACGGCCCAGAACACGACGCACCGTTCCTGTCGTCCGGAGGTCACGCCTGACAAAGAACCGGAAACTTGCCGCACAGCCTCGCCTAGGAAGCCCGCATGTCAGCCAGACATTAGCACGCCGCTGAGTCATACGTGACCTCCAGGGGTCAGCAACACGCGAGGGCCTGCCCATGCGGGCGCTCCGGACTGGACCAATAGGAACACGCAAACCAGACGAAGGCTGAACCCTTAAATACGAAGCCACGGACGGAAGGATTTTGAGTTGATGTACACAGGTTGACTGACGCAGTAAAGCTGTTCTATCCTATCCTGTCTGTCTTCTATTCCGCACAGAACTGGCGTCATACTACGTGGGGGATATAACAGCTACAGAGGAGGCGTTGGTGGTGGTGCAGACGGATGGTGCGAGGGTGGTGCTGGGCATGACGGGCGTGGTTGGTGTATCGGAATTGTGGTCAATTCCGCTCTCGTGGATGCGCATGTGGCCGAATAGACCCATGCGATGATTGAAGGTGCGAGGGCAGTGTTGGCAGTTGAGGCGAGTGCGGTGGGTGTAGGTCGGTGCTCCAGGCACTGGTTCGCCAGTCTCTGTGCGATGGATTCGCAAGTGACTGACCAGGCCGATGCGTGAAGTGAAGGTACGATCGCAGTGAGGGCAGATGTAGTCCTGGCCCTCACATCTGACAATGGAGGTTGCAGGGGCTGTGCCTGTTGTTGTGTCAGGTGTGGCTGTGGTGATGGCGTGCGCGACAGACGCCGGAGCGGCCGCACACACACACACACGACGGCAGTTCGGCTGTCGTGCCGAACGATTTCCACGGTGTGCTCCAAACCAAGGTGAAGCAGGTACGGCGACTTGCGCGTGAATTAGTTTATAGTGCGTGGGAACTTGCGCAGCATCTACCGCCCTTTCTTCTCTTCCTCCGCCTGCGCCGGGTGTCAAGACATAGCCAAGGAGATCGGAAAGGGGAGGAGGCGCAGGAGACTGGCACGGACGGACTCCTTATCTAGGCGTACAACCACGCACCCTTGTCCACAACAAAAACTTGATCATGACTCTGAGGAAGAACCACAACAGCACCGTATCGGGTCAGAAGGACGAGAATGACCTGGAACCCCTGTTCACGACTTGTGTACCTAGCGGGAACCGAGCGCACCTACCGGCAGGGAACCAGGTGCCAGAGAATCGCCAGCGCCCACCAGGCTGCGAAGACCATGGTTTGCTGATCTCGACGTAGCAGACGTTTGCAGACATTTAGGCCCAGAAGGGTGATACGTGGTTCTGCATTTGCCTGGGCAATTACATTTCAAAGGCTGGGTAATCACTCAGTCGTCGACAGGGATGCACTACACATAAAGCACACACGCACTCGTCACATGCGTGAGAGGGCCAGAGCTCGCCTTAGGAATAAGCCGTGTCAGCCTCGCTCTCAGCTCGCCAGTCCGTCAATGTAAACGAACACTCACAACTGGGCAGACTGCATGCACCGAGTTGGAGCGTCAAGTGGCAACCTTCCAAGCCAGAGCGCGTGGCGCACCGTGATAGACTCAGACTCCGACCACACATTCAGCAGAGGATTCGAATGGAGAAGTAGCCAACAAGCACATATCGCACTTGCGTGGAAGTTGGTAGTTGGATGCTTGTGATGGGCTATGGTGTTGGGAAGTTCGAGTAATGGGGAGGGAAAGTAGGATGGTGTGGTGTAGCCGGCAGTTGTCTACCGTAGGTTTTTGTGACTGCAAATGTGGCCTAGTACGCCCATGGGCTGGCTGAATGTGCGAGTGCAATTAGGGGACTAGGTCGGGGCGTAACTCGGCAGCCTTCCAACCAACGGTGCTTGACGTACAGTGGTAGACTCAGACTCGAATCACACATGCAGGTACATGGTGAAGGAGGCAAGAAACACACTTCCCACTTGCGTGGGAGGTGGCAATTGGGTGCTTGTGATGGGCACTGATGTTGAAAGGTGCGGGTGCTGGTGGGCGCGTAGCAGTCCGCGCCTCCTTGCCCTCCGCCTCTTTGTCCGGCTGCCTTATTGTCCGCCTCACACTCCCTGTCGATTAGCTGTTGGGAAGCGCGAGGCATGCCACTGTCCTCACGAGTGGTTGAGGCCAGTCAACGCTGCCCCTTCTCTGATTGGCTGGCATACACTGAGGTAGAGCGAAAGGTTCACACAAGCGCCAGGATCTAAGCACCTCAACGGCGGACACAAACACGACTTGCCTGGAGAGACCGCTCGCAGCGACTGCTTGCAGTGCCTTATGTACACACTTCCTTAATACTAAAGGTTCTCCAACCCATCCAGTCTTCCCTGACTTCTGATTAGGGATTTTGTGACTCCATATGTGGCCTAGTCGACTCATGAGCTGGCTGAATGTGCGGATGCAATAAGGAAAATTGAGGCGGATTCTGCGAGTGTATGTTGATGTCCCAAGTACCGGTTCGACAGTCTCTGTGAGATGAATTTGCAAATGACCGACCAGACCGATGTGAGGCATGAATTTACGGCGGAGGTGCGATCGCAATGAGGACAGGAATGGACCGAATCCACATCGCTGGTGATGACGGTGGCGAGGATAAGGATTGTCGGTGTATTAAGATTCAGGGCAGCGGCTACGGGTGCAGGAGTCATCGCAGAGGATTTTGAGGCGATAGGGATTTAAGAGTGCGGCCAGTGTTAGTTGTCGGCGTTGAGGACGAGGCAAAGGTGGACAGTAAGACATCAGGTGGTGTCGTCCGGATGTTGCAGTTGGTTGGAAAAGGTTTAATGAGACAGATTGGTGCCCGTAAGGTCCGCTGGCATCGCGAACAGGTCGGATGCGGTTGAGCGTCGGCATTGCGAGGCGGTCGCAGCTGAGATTTACGTGCCTCTCGTTTGGCTTTCCCGACGGTGATGCGGTTGGCTTAGTAGACCGCCGCGGTTGTCTTCACTGCCCTCCGCCAGTTCGGTCGATCCAGGCTGAGGTCTTCCCAGTTGGCCGGCCGATCTGCCGACGCTTCAGGGTATCCTTGTAGCACCTCACCTGACCACCTTGCCGACGGAACCCATCACGACATCTCCATGGAAGAGTCCTTTGGGTAGCCGCTCTTCGTCCATCCAAACGAGCTGGTCGCTCCACTTCAGTTGTGTCTGTCTCAGCATGGCGTAGATGCGGAGGCTTAACGTCCGCTCCAGTGCGTACGTGTAGGGGATTTGGTCTTGCCATCCCAGCTTCAGTATCCGTCGAAGACAGGTAAGGTGGACATGATTGAGTCTTCGCGCCTGCTTCTTGTAACCGTCCACAACTCGTCTCAATGCAGCAGCGTCGCCAAGATGACTGCATTGCGCGTCTACAGTTTGATGCTGAAACGGAGACCGTGAAAATTCCAAACTGTGTTTTGAAGACAACCGGAGGTTTGACTAGCCTTGAAAGTCTGGCGGCCACTTCATTGACGATCGGGGCGCTCCGAGTGTGGGTGTTGCTCAGGTCGGTGAATTTGCCGACGGCTTGCAGTTCGGCGCCGTTCACGTTGATTTGGGGTGCATCGTAGGCAGCGTTGGGCGGCGGTGAATGCATAAGCACCATCTTCTCCGTGGTGATGACCAGACCGAAGCTGTCTCAGTTGTCGGCGAAGAGGTTCATGCTCCTTTGTATGTCGCCATCAGTAGTTACATTCAGGGGGCATTCCTCGGTGAAGATAAGTTCGTGAACGGTAGTTGTGGATACGCGCGACTTGAAATGCATCCGCCGATGACTGAGAAGTATGCTTTCCGTCCTGTAGGCGACGCGGATGCCGGGGCGTTAGTCACGGCAGGCGTTCATTTGCATGGAAGAGAAAGTGAGACGGAAGAGGATGGGCACGGGGACGCAGACCTGTTTCACCCAGTTGGTTACTGCCAATGCCTCCGATACAAGTCCATTGTTCGTGAGTCACGTCATCATGCCATCATGGGGCCAATCCCACATCTGAGTGAATCGTTTGGGACAGCCGAATTTTCTACAGTCCGCCACGATTCCCCGTGTCGAAGGCTTTCGTCAGATTTACGAATGAAGATTACAGGCGAGTCTGTGTCTCTTGATACTTCTCCTTCATTTGACGGTCGGAAAAGATCATGTCCGTGGTCCTTCGATGATGACTGAAGCCGCACTGACTTTCCGACAGGAGACTCATATCCAGATGGTTTTTCAGGCAATTGATAAGAATGCGAGCGTATATCTTCCCAACGATGTTTAGCAGGGGAAAAACCTCAATGGTTGTCACAGATTTGGCAGTTCCTTTTTCGTTTGCAGAGATGGCGCATTGTGGCGTCCTTGAAATCCTGGGGAGATTCACCTTGATGTAACATCGTCTGGGAGAGCGCAGTCAGATAATCCATGCGATGGGAGCTGCCGTGCTTGTAGATCTCAGCAGGGATCGCCTTAGATCCAGACGCTTTGCCGATGGCGAAATGCTGCATGAAATTGATGGTTTCGTGAAGAGAGAGTGGGATGTCGAGGCTGACATTGGTCTCCACTTGCGGCAGACGGACGATAGCGGCGCCGGAGATGATAGAGAGAAGTTTGAGGAGGCCGTTGGAGTGCTCGGCCCATCGCTGTAGGATTTATGTCTTCTTGGTGAGTAGGGTACTTCCGTCGGCGCTGAGAAGAGAAACAGTACCTTTGGCTGGCGCACCGTAGACAGCCTTGATCGCGGAGAACAAATTGTTCCATTCGTTGCGATCCACGTAGCATTGGATCTCTCCGGTCTTGCGAGCCGTCCAAGCGTCCTGCGTCTCCCGCAGCCGCTCTTGCACAACGCGACGACTACAGTAGAAGGTTGCCTTTTTGTCGTCGGTGGGGCGGATGACGTGGACTTTGTGCAGGCGGTTCTTCTCGGCGAGCAGGTTGCTGGTGGCGGCGCCATTGCTGACATCAAACCAGTCATGATGTTGGCGACGTGCGTGAGCGAGGACAGCCAGGGCCGTTGACTGGAATGTGTCCCGCAGCTGACACCACTGATCTCAACGAAGACGTCCTCTTCCATGGCGTCGGCGACGGCGGCGACTGGAAGGTTGTCTAGCCGTTGAGCTAACTCGCTGCTGAAGCGGAGATGGTGAGCAGGCAAAGACAACAAGGCAGTATTCAACTTAGCTGGGGATCGCTTACCTCGAGGTCCTTGGCGAATCCGCATCTTGGAGATGACTAGGCGATGATCAGTCCACCCTCCAGCGCCCGCGATCGCCTTTGTCCTCAGCACGTCCCGCTGATCTCGCCCGCGGACGAGGACATAGTCCAACAGATGGCACTGACGCGACCGGGGATGCCTCCAGGTGGCCATCTCTCGGATCTTCATCGGGAGGCGGAAGTAGGTTTGATCAGAATGAGCCGATGTTCCCCGCAGGTTCGTAGGAGAAGAAGGCCATTGCAGTTGAAGCCATCGGGACCCGGGGGACCCAGCACTCCTCTCCAGGCAGCATGGTCTGTGACGACGCGGGCGTTGAAGTCACCAAAGGCGATCAACTTATCTGTCTTCGACAGAGTCGCCAGGAGGCCGTGTAGGTCCTCGTGAGATTTTTCTCTTGCGGCGGCGTCGGGGCTGCTCATCGGCGGAGTGTAGGCGCTGATGACGGTGGCGAATTTGCCCCCACCCCGGAAAGGCAGACGGAGGCTCATCAGGCGATCGTTGATGTTTTGCGGCAAACAGGGCAGTCGTCTCACGATGTCGTTCCGGATGGGGAAGGCGACACCCGCGTCACGTCGATCTGCCCTGGGTCGACCACTCCAGAAGAAGGTGTAGTCGGCACCCACCTCCTCCGTTTGGCCTTGTTCGGAGAATCGGGTCTCGCTGAGTGCGGCAATGTCCACCTTGTAGCGGGCCAGTTCTCGTGCCACTAGCGCCGTCCTCCGTTCCGGTAGGTTGCTCCTCGGATTGTCTGAAAGGGAACGAACATTCCCGGCTGCCAGAGTGAGCGGACTCACCCTGCCAGTCTGGTGACAATGAGTGGGGCGATGGGAAGGAGGTGGAGAAGAAGGTGACGAAGGAGAAGAATAAGCTGAAGAATAGACAGAGGAAGAGGAAGAAGACGAGGGATGAGGAGAATGAGTACGGTTGTTTCGACCGTGAGTTTTGCGTCTGCGACCACGGTGCGCCTTCAGACGACGATGTTCCTCAGCAATTTTTAGGCCAGCCACACACACACACAGAAACGCACACATGTACCGCTGCTGGCTCCAGACGGTGTTTATTGTTGGGCTTATAAAAACATCCTCGACCAGTCACGTCATCGCCAGTATTTCGTCATTTTTTTCTCGCGGACGCCAAAGAACCAGACATACAAGTTTTTTAAGGCTCGTTAATGCGTCACAGTCTATCTGCCATTTGTGTCAAATGTAAATTTCATAAAACAGTCATAAATTAATCTCAATAAGAACGAATTTTCAAACAAAATTTACAGGTTCTTTGTTCGCTTTTTCAGCAATTCAATATTCACCAGAAGTTCCGACAAGTTTATAAGAGGCGATAGGCCAGTGTCCAATGAAATTCCTTTCCTAAGAGGCATGTATTCGGAGACGTCAGTAGTAATAAGGTAACGGTCACCGGCAATACATGGAACTGAAATGTTTTAAATCAGAATTTTCTGAAATCAGGATAGTACTTTGACCTAAAGACTAGTTCGATCTCCAATTAAATGCAAACTAAATCGACTAACGTAAAATAGGGATGTTGCACAGAACAAATTACCTTACAAAGGTTTCGGGTGAGGAGATTTGTCTGCCCGATTATATGAATAAAATGAATAAATTAATAGAAATAGTATAGGATAATTTGACGTCATCCTTGTGTTCCGATAGCATTTTTAGCATGTGTGCAAGGCAACAGGATTGTGACCATCCCCTTTGCCTTACGGAAGATCAGACTGACCACCATCGCTGCAACGGGCACTATGTTTCCTCTGGACCGCAAACTGCACAAGGCCACCCGATTTCACCAAGAGCCTCCTGCTGGAAAGCCACTTCGACTTCTCCCAGACACGCTGACCTGCAACCACGCAACTAACTTCAGCTCGGATACACGTGTGTCCGGGGCCACAGGCGTCTGCGCCTCAATTGCATACACCAACCCTGGGTCAAGGCAGCACGGCGGCTCGACTGTCGCCAGCGACTACGTCTACCACTGCGCCCAACAGAGTGGGCGTAGCAGGCGTGACGTATGCGTTAATGAGTTTATACTAAGGCAAGCTCGCGCAGCGCCTACCGCACTACTTCCTCCATTATTAAACTGTCTACGACGGCAAAAGTCCACGACCGTAGTTTGGAGTGGACGAAGTGCCTGACTGAGTTAAGAAAGAAGTCCACGCGTGCCACGAAGACCGCCTCTAAAATGCACAACTAGCGCAAATCCACAGCGAAAAGGTGTAGTCACTGTGTCACCTGATAATCTACTTACTCTCAAAGGCATTTTTTGTAATTTTTTAGCTGATAAACTCCAGAATAACTGTTCAGCAAAGGAGGCTTAGGACGGCGACATGCGCGTAAATTATTTTTTGATGATAGAAGACTTGCGCAGTTTCTCCAACACATTCTCCATCCCATCCACGTAAGCAGGGTGTTAAAACATTGTCAGAAAAACTGGAAGCGGAATCTGGCACCGAGGTCGAAAGGCAGAACACTCCGTCTACGAATGCCAGTCGCGGCTCGTTCAACAAATGATGTATCAGGTTTTCACAGAATCTAGAGGCGCCTGGCATCCTATCTAACTTGGAGTGGTACAAAAGCCACAGCCATACGGACCCGCTGGCCATTATTGTCAGTCCTGAAGAGGACCGATTTACTCCGTCATCTGACAGCTTCGTAATTCACAACGTTCAGACAGGCGCGACAGTTTCAAAGTCCAAGTGAATACGAGAACACCTCCCGGCATGGCTGGTAAAAGGTGAGACCGGGAGCATAAACAGCACCATTTCCACGCATACTGTTGATTCCGGACATCGTGCGGACCCCAGCTGAGCTTTTTGTGTGCTTTTTAAGGTCCCACCTAACTATCCTATGCTACTGGACCAGTGATTGTTAGTAACGGCAGAGGCGGCCGCTATCAGATTACGAAAACCAGTCTTGTGCGCACAGAAGAACCACGTTCAGGCGCCGTAAGTACAGTGGTTGAAGGTCGACTAACGCTGTAATTCTCTGCTCCCTTCCGCTCCCACCCAGCCCCCAGGACTGACTGCTATTACTCCCCCACAATGAGAAAAATTTCCAAGTGACTGACCACGCTGAAGTGTGATGTGAATTTTTAGGTAATTAATAACAGGATTTGATTATGTCAGCTGAACTAATAACGATACCATAGTTGCTTCGGGTGACGAGGCTGATGGTGATGATGGCTGTGGTGCTCGTGGATTTGGTAGCGCTGATGATTGATGAGTTTTTTTGGGTTGAGGAGGTGCGTTTGTCGTGTTGACATCGTTGTGAATTTGAATGTCTTGGATATGCATGTACGCCCATGCGGTAACTGGTCTTTCGTGGACAGGTGAAGCGAATGTATGTTGGTGTTTCCGACGCTCGTTCACCAGTCTCGCTTCGACTGATTCGAAAGTGACCGACCGGGACAATGCGTGCCACAAAGATGCGATCGTAATGGGGACAGGTTGGTATTACAGCCAAATTACTGGTGGCGGTGGCGGACGTCGTCGTCATCGTCGCGGAGTTGCCGTAGTGGTGGTATTAGTAATAGTAGTAGCGGTAGTAGTATTAGTAATAGTAGTAGTAGTAGTAGTAGACGCGACATCTAACACTGGAAGGGTACATTAAGTCAGAATATGCCAGACGAGTCCGATTTGCACACGAAATGTCCGTCTAAATTAAGAACGCGATGGAAGGATTTGGGTGCTGGGGTTGCTGGCTCGCGACGCTCGAGACTTGCGAGCGGCTCATTTGACTTTGGCAGCGACTGTCTGGTTGGGTTCACAAGTAATTTTTCCCGTTTTTACTACTGTTCTCCAGACTGGCCGATTCTGAGCGAAACTCTCCCAGGCCTGCGAGTTGATTTGTAGATTCGAGAGGAAGGTATTTATAGTGCATCTCCAACGTCGTCTTCGTCATCCTTGTCGGTCATCTCCATAGGCCAGTCGTTTGGTTAGAGAACGCTAACCATTCTCACTTCGTGGCCGCTTCACCCTATTTGTATTTACTTCGACGTGGTGCGGATGTTTAAGATTTCTGTTTGCTGAAAGGCATCTATGCTCGGGATCCTCTCCTGTCACCTCAGCTTCAGTATTTTCTGGAGGCGGCTAGTGTCGAAGTGGTTGAGCCTTTTTCTCGTAGACAGTCCATGTCTATGTTTGGCACAGGAACGATGTCAGGATGACGGCCTTGCTCATCTATAATTTATTCTAAGCATCTGCCTGGCAAAGTGCAGGTAGGCTCACGCCAAGTGCGCCAGAAATTCACCATATTTAACGTAAATCATTGAATACAGCGTACTTATATGCTTGCGTCCGCCTCCCCCCCCCCGCAGGCCTAAGCCCACCGTTTACATAAGCAAATTCAGTTGTCGTGAAAATATCCCATAACTTTAGGCTGCTAGTGAAACTGCCCGCGTGTCCTAGGACTAATTCTTTACATGTACGCGCTCTGCAGAGGCAGTGCCAGCTGTGAATGCCGTAAAATTGGAGGATTTGTCTCCATCGACAAATGCAGATGTTGATTAAAACGAGTTTCCGTAAGAGGTCGTCGGAAGTCTTCTGTGGCCTACAGGTCCGCAGTGAAGAAATGCACGTTCGATAAAGAGCAAAGCTTTTACGATGAAGGAGCCCTTAAGCGTCTCGAATGCTATCTACGGGTACAGTAGGTGGGCTAACTAATAAATGGTAATCAAAATTCCGAAATGGGTTTTCATTGCGAAAATTTTAATTAAATAGGGTTGCAAAACTAGTCAGCCTGCAACATAATTCTATAATATTTAAGTTACCACAGGATGCCGGCTTTCCAAAGAGCTTCCTTCCGGCTGCATGTAAAACTACACTCTGTAAAAATGACTACTTAAGTTGCATGAATTTTTCTCATTGATTTTCGATGCCCTTAAAAATCCAATAATCTTTCATGGAAAACATGCATAAAAATATTCACTCTTTTGCTCATTCGGTCGAAAATTACGTCTTCTTCTAATTTCATATTCAAAGGAAGGGTAAAATTCAATTTTCAAAAACGTTTCCAGTTCGCGAATAGTTTTGAACCCTCCCTACCGTTACAGTTGAATTCAGGGTTTCTAAACTACAACCCATATATTTTCCTTGTACGGAAAACCATAAATTACTCTACGGTAATAAAGAAGGACCATGT